TCATGTCTCTGCAGTGTGGACACTATGGCCTTTTTAAACTTCCACAAGCCTTCCATGTAACACATCTTTGAATGTAGTAAGTGGTGAAGTGGTAAAGCAAAATCATATTTATTGATCAGTGTGCTGAATAGATTACAGCCTCAGCCATGGCCAAAGTTGCACTATAGGCACATAATAATAGTCAATTCCTTTAGGGAGTGGGATTTTTCTTTGAAAGGATACCAGAGGAAACCAATAGGCTTAGAAGTGCTGAGGGCCTCACATCTAAACTCCTGTAGGGTTTGCCCCCATACATTTTATCCCTAGAAAACTTCAAAGCCACAGCATCTGTTCTAACACAGTGGAGGACAGGGTTTTCACCACTGCATAGATATCATGTTTATCCTTTAAAGGAACAAATGCACTCAGGGTTTGATTCACTTTACATATTTTATTCTTGTCTAATGTTTTGTTAGTTTTGTAACTTTAGAAACATTATTCCATTTTAACAGCATTTTAACAGTATTAGTATATTAATATATTTTTAATTTAACATTTGAAACAACAAATAATTAAACATCTCTCTGTGTTCCTGCTCCCCAACAATGCCCCAGTCATCAAACGTGTGAAACCTACAACGAGGATCGTCAAGATCTGGTTGAAGGTGATGATGACTCCATTCTTTAGCATCAATTCCAGCTCGCCGGGCTGGAGTGTGTGTGCTGCTCAGGCCACCACAAACTCTCAGATTATTTTTCATACTTACACCAACTCTGTCCTGGATTACATCAACAGGTGTGTGTGGATAGAGTGACCACACACAAAACAATAAAAACCATCAACATTCAGAAGCCCTGGATGAACAGAGAGGTTTGCCTCCAGCTCAAAGCCAGAGATGCAGCCTTCAGGTCTGGAGATCGAGAGGCTCACAGCTCAGCCAGGGCCAACCTGAGGAGGGGAATCTGCTAGACTAAACACACACACAAACAGAGGATTGAGGGGTGCATCAACTCCTTGGACCCCCAGCGTATGTGGCAAAGAATACAAACCATCACAGACCTCAAACCACCCAGCACTGTGCCTCCCTCCCTGACAAGCTCAACCACTTCTACACTTGCTTTGAGCAAGGAAACAAGGAGGTCACCCCCAAAGTGGATCTCCCACCTGGTAAGCCACATTCTCCACCTCAGATGTTTGCTGTACTCTGAGCAAGGTGAATCCACAAAAGGTAGGTGACCCAGATGGAATACCCTTTCCTCGTGCTTAGAGGCTGTGAGGAGCAGCTGGCCGAGGCCTTTACGGACATTTTCTGTCTGTCCCTGGCCCGGGCAGGTGTCCCCACTTGTTTCAAGACAGCCACCATCATGCCCATACCGAAGCACTCCACTGCTTTAGCACTTAATGACTTCCGTCCTGTCACACTCACCTCCATCATCAGCAAGTGCTTCGAGAGACTGGTCCTTTCAAACCTCAGATCCTATCTACCTGCTACATCAGACCCACACCAGTTGCAAAATCAGGTCAACAGAGAATGCCATCTCTGCCACGCTTCGCTCTGCCCTGATCCACCTGGAAAGTTAAAATACATATGTCTGGATGCTGTTCATTTACTTCAGTTTCTGTGATCCCCTCCAAGCTGATCTCCAAGCTCAGCCAACTTGGTATCAGCACACCCCTCTGCAACTGGACTTCCTGACTAACAGACTCTAGTGTGTGGTAACTGCTCCGCATTAGATCATAAAGCACTACAGAGTGTAGTAAAACCTACTCAACGGATCTCCAGCCACCAGTCACCCACCATCGAGAACATTTATCAAAAGCGCAGCCTGGGCAGGACCAGAAACATCTTCAATGATAACCAAGGACTTTCAACTTTGCCAACTTTGGCTTAGAAAGTGACCCCTTCATGACCTGGGGAAACCTGTGTCATATAACCCCTGAAATTCTTTACAACAGGAGCTCACACCAGCAGTCTCAGGGACATATTGTACATACAGGCATAGCATTACTGCACTTATCTGTATAAAACACTGTATTTCTGCACTTCTGGTTAGTTTCATTAACTGCATTTCTTTAGCTATGTACCTGTACTCTGCACAAAGACAATAATGATGACGCTAATCTATATTTTTTAAAAACAACAAAAAAACTTGAAACTTGGACTTGTTTTGTTAATTACATTGTTTCTGTCAGTATGTCTGTCACATGGTGTTCTCTCTCATGTCCGTGCACTGAAAACGGCATTCATGTTAAACTTGGAGATATCTGTTTGTTGTCGAGGTGAGAGTCAGAGTAGAAAAGCTCTCCGTATTTAAACTTAAAAAGTAGTACACACAACAAAAAAAAAGTTTTACCATTTTACCAGTCAACCCAGGTTTTTGGGAGTACAACATTGGGTTGGATCCCATTACTTTTGGAAACCAGAGATTATTTACTATAATAAATTAAAAGACTGAAAGACTGGCATCAAGGAGGCGGAGCGGAGACATCAGCAGAGACTGGAGAGAGACCTCAACACCAACAACACCAAAGATATGTGGCAAGCCATCAAGAACATCACAGGCTACAATAGCTGGAGTTTCCCCATCACGGGTGAGGCCACATTACCAGCTGTAAAGTCTACTCCACCTCCAGAACAATGGCCACTGTCCGTATCCAAAGCAGATGTGAGGAGAGTCCTGCTGAGAGTGAATATCAGTAAATCAGCTGGGCCTGATAACATTCCTGGCCGTGTACTAAAAACCTGTGCCAATCAGCTAGTTGATGTTATTACAGACATTTTCAACATCTCACTGTCTCAGGAGAGGGTTCCCACCTGCTTCAAGACAGCCACCATCGTTCCTGTACCTAAAAAGTCTGCTGTGTCTAGTCTGAACAACTACCGCCCTGTGACTCTCACCCCGATTCTGATGAAGTGCTTTGAGAAACTGGTCCTTCAGCACATAAAGCACAACATCTCAGCCAGCCTAATCCTAACCCTCACCAGTTTGCTTTCAGAGCCTACAGATTCACAGAGGACGCCATCTCCATTGCCCTCCACTCAGCCTTCACACACCTTGAGAAAAACAACACCTACATCAGAATGCTGTTTGTGGATTTCAGCTCTGCAGCATTCAACACAGTCTCCCCCATGAAACTGATCAGCAAACTCAGCACTCTGGGTTTAATTACAACACTCTGCAACTGGATACTTGACTTCTTCACAAACAGACCCCAGTCAGTTCAGACTCATCTCCTCCACTCTAGTGCTCAACACCGGAGTCCCCCAGGGCTGTGTGCTCAGCCACCTCCTGTTCATGCTGTACACCCACGACTGCATCCCCCAACATGGAGAGAACTCTGTTGTGAAGTTTGCAGATGACACCACCATCATCGGCCGGATTTCAAACAACAATCTTGTTATATAGAGAGGAAATTGATAATCTTGTAAAGTGCTAATCTTGTGCTTGGAGAACAACCTACTGCTCAACGTGAGCAAAACCAAGGAGCTAACTGTTTTCAGGAAAAAGGAGATAAAGACACACACTCCTGTCTACATCAGTGGTGCTGAGGTGGAGCAGGTGAATAGTTTCAGGTTGCTGGGAATCAGTATCACAGGGAACCTGACATGGACATCTCACATTTCCATGCTGGTAAAGAAAGCTCAGAAACGCCTGTATTTCTTGAGGAAGCTAAGAAGGCGAAATTCCTGTGCCAAGTACTTTACAGAGGAGCAATAGAAAGCATCCTGACTGAAAACATCACTAACTGGCATGAGATGTGCACGGCCCAGGACCAAAGGGCTCTGCAGCGGGTGATTAAAACCGCTCAGAAGATCATTGTTACCCATCTCCCGAGCATCAGTGATATTTCTGAGGTGAGGTGCCTACACAGAGCCCAAAGGATACTAAAGGACAGTACCCACCCAGCCACAGCCTGTTCACCCTGCTACCTTCTGGGAAGAGATATAGAAGTTTCAGCTGCCACCCCACCAGACTGCAGAGCAGCTTTCCCCCGAAGATATCAGACTCTTAAACTCTAATTCATCCTAACCACTGCCTCAATGATTATAGTGTATTTCTTTGTACCATTTTTATGAATGCTTCTAGATTATTGGATATTGTCTGCTGTGTAGCAGAAGAGTTACAAACTCAGTTTCACTATATAACCAGTTATATTGTGACAAATAAATGTACCCACCTACCTACCTAAAAATTCACTCAGCCACCACTTCTATGTACAGACCAACAACAATTTAAATGCTCAGTATTCTGTCAGGAAGGGAAAACAGAAGGGACATTGAGAGATGTGCCTGTGAGTTTGGCAGTAGCATAAACGAACCAGTAAGAGGCGCCCTTGTGTCATTTACTCCTGGAGATAACCAGCATTTATCAGAGTTTGCGGAAAACTTCAAATTCATGGAGGTGTAATAATCAGAGATGCGGTGGTTAAAGAACTATACCCAACAGTAGGCTACTACTGAGAAGATGTGTTCTTAATGACTACTCTCAACAATTATATTTAAATAATAAGATCCAGTTATGTAGTATTTTCTGCATAATACGCTTTAATTAAGAGTTTTTTTGTTCTGAATGTGATATCCTTGCATAATGCCCATGCAATATGGATTGTAGCTTATGTGTGTTATGAATTAAATAAAATTGAGCTCTTGTTTTTTAAATGAGTTTTGCTAATTTGACTTCGGGGAACACCTAACATTGCCACGGAAGCAGCAAGATTTGTCAGAGAATGTCACAGCCTCAGGGAAAACTCAAAATCACATGAGCTCCCTCCAAATCAGTCTCCTCTTTTAGATTATCGTTGTTTCTTCAGGTGTTCTTACCATTAGGCTATCATTACATTCAATGTAAATATGATCCCATTATATATATTATATATTATCTGTTTTCTAATAATTTGTTTTCAATATTTGCCTTTATTGTATCATATACTAGTGTAATATCCGAATTTGTGTACTTTTCTTTTTGCGAACGTACGTGATGACGTCGTCCAGAAGGATTAACTGTCGATATCCGACAAATCGAACAAGAGCGGAAGTGAAGCATGAGGGGAAAAAATAGATGTTTTGTGTATGAAGTTAGTGAGCTAACGTTAACTTATATTGTCATTGGAGTAATACGTTAACGCGAAGGTGATTTGCTGAAGAAAGCATTTTCATTCTGTTTGATATCGTCCGAAATTATATAGTTCTCCTGGACTAACGTTAAATCGCCACTTTCTCTGAGAAGAGGAACAAAGTGTCAGGTAACGTTCACTTACAAATCGGCGAGCTAACGCAAACTAACAAACCCAATTGTCGCACTGTGTCGTTGTCTGATTTCTTATGTTGTTAGCCATATATCAAAAGTAACGGTAGTCATCAACGTTTGATGAAGTAGATAACGTTAGCCTTTACTAACGTTATTTTGTGGTGTTTACATTATCACAATAAAGCAACAACGCCGGGCGAATTTAGAGCAATGCCGACTAACTAGTTACCGGCTGGCAAACGAACTAACGGTAGCTGATGTTAATGCTAACTTAGCTGTTGGATTTGGGGGGCCTTATATCTGTACCTTTTCCTCTCTGACGCCAATTTAACTTGGAGCAAGAGTGCCGATCATTCGTGTTGATAAAATACTTAATGTACCAATACATCTGACTCTGCATAAGTAATGACGCTCCCATGTGTAGTCTGCTGTGTACAGTGTACTGAATGGGAACCTGAAGGCTAACTTAGAGAGAACATTGCATACAATGCACGGAGGGACTATGTGAGGGTGCCAGCAGCACGTTTTTACGCAGGATCCGTCAAATGGGTTAATCCACCTTATTTTCCTACCTGTGTCCATACTGATATGAAAACAGAGTATTTTCAATGTCCTCATTGTATGATGAAATGTATCAGGCTGTATGAAATGTCTGTCTTAACAGCTAGGCTCTGATTGAAGAGGGGGAACCAAAGCATGATGGATTATTTAAAACGAACATGTCAAAGACCAAAGGGAGCTAAGTTGCCTTTTGCCTTATTGAAATTACTACTGTTTTTTAATATATTGTGTGCCCTGTCATCCAGGATGGATCCAGCTCTACTGAGGGAGAGGGAGTTGTTCAAGAAAAGAGCTCTGTCCACTCCAGCTGTAGAGAAGAGACACGCTGCCTCAGACTCTGGATCACACAAGAAGAAGAAGCCCCGAGTTGACAAGGAGAGCTCGTCAGGGTCCAAACACAGTGCTGGTAAGCGAAAAAGATTTTTTTTGACAGTTTTGCAATCTCTAAAAGAAAACTGCAATGGGAGTTCAGATGATGCAACAGAAAGTGAAAGAAATATTTTATTGATTGTTATTTAAACCTTATTTTCTCTAAAACAGACCACCAATGGTGTCTATTGTAATAATGGTTGTTTTTGGTAGTATTACATTTTCTGTTTTATTACCTTGAGCCAGTTAATTACTTGAGGAATTCAAATCAGTAATTGAAATGATATTCCTAGCACTACTATTCAATATCTGTATAATACAGGCACTAAGGACACCTCCATGAATTGAAGTATTTGTCATTAATTTAACAGCATATTCTTAAAAGTTGTTAATTATTTTAACCCTCCGGTTAAGGCCATGTTTTTGTCATTCCTACATACCTCAGGTCTTTAGCGACCCGGCACTTGTATAACACAGATTCAGCCATATATTAAAATTATATAGCTTGTAAACTTTGGAACTTTTATCATTGTACAATAACAATTTTTATAACAATAATATTTTTTTTCAATTTAATTAAATTTTACAATCATTTATAGATGTCAGACAATGTTTTTTCCCCCGTAATTCATTAATATATTCCATGTTTATACTGTACTATCTTACACATAGGCAACTATAAATCTCATAGACTGCCACCCACCAAACCCAAGTTAGTCTACTTACATGTTTATTGCAGCATGGTCGAGGTAGTTGAGGCAACTATATAAATTTCCCTCATCCATCCGACTTCTTTAGAGACCTCTGCTTGGACTGTGTCTTACATACCCCATGTTGTCTGAAGTTGCTTCATCATTCTAGTGCACCACTTCTGCTTTTGAACGACCTGATTCATCAATGGCACAAAAGTTTTCTCAAATATCAAAGAACATGCTTGGTCTGCACTATACCTGACATCGTAGTGCTGCAATATGTTACTGTGACGTAAGATAAAAAAACGTACATTGTGTCTGTATTTATTCATTGTAACGTTGAGACCACAGAGAAACACATTACTCTTAATCACTTGCGTCCAGCATACCGTGAATAAAAAATGGAACCCGTAGGCTCTAGCGACCCTATAACCATTTTAGAGAAAATCATTAGAATAAATGCTTTTTATCAGTTTTAACATTTAACACCACAACATTGTAAAAACAGTAGTATGAGGAATACCAGAGAGTCGAGAGTCATCATCTTGATTTTCCCCACCCAACACTAAAATGTAGTCTAGGCTAGGCTCTATATCCCCTTTCCTCTTCTCTGTATGTGTCTGTTCTTTTAGCAGAAAAACAAATCCGGCACATAATTCAGTGACAATTTATTAGGCATTTTGTGGTAAGGCATACAAAATCATACATTGCGTTCAATATGACATGATAAATTACACCACTGTGCAGCAATCAAGTTTCACTTGTCATGAGATAATGTTGCAATGCTAAACATGTTGACAACACTGGCATACAATTTACTAAGGAGCAGAAAAACACAGGCTTTATCTGAAGCAACGATGCTGTCCAGCTATACTCGGTAATTTTCTTGTTGTACGTCAGGTCCTGTTGGGAAAAATAGGATATTCAAGTCTGTAGATTTGGACTGCGTTTTCTCACACACGTGCAATACTCACAGGGCAGGTGTCGTTGAACAAGAATACTAGCTAATGTAGGGTCTGATTAGTGTTTTTTTTTTTTTTTTTTTTTGTTACTGTGTGTTTCCATCCACACTCCTAGTACTATTATTACTAGACTACTCAGGTGCTCTCTGGTAGTATTTCTGGTATAAAATATAGCTTTAAGGGTCTGCCCTAAGTGTTAAGTGGTAGTGAATGTAGATGTGTGACGATTCCCTCCTAATTTAAATGAAAAGCTAATTAGACTCACTGCCAGATAAACTACCCCCTTCCTTTTTTTACTTTGCCCTGTTACCTTGTCTCTTCCCTCTGCATCCTTATTTGTGAACAATTGAACCACTATTGGGCAGTTTTAAAAGTTCTTTGAGGGGTAGGGGGGAGGTCAACGCTGTGATATTTCCCAGTTCAGCATTGAAGCCCGAATGCTCACTCTTATCTTTCACCTCGCTGCCCCTATACCACCTCAGTGAGGGACTCTGGCTCCTTGCACATGCTGGTCATGAGCTTGCTACAGCTTGCTGGACCTTCCTCCTGTAGCTGCTGATGTGTCTTCCCTTTGGCACAGCACCCACAGTCCAGTAGCTCGTAGAGCACGGCCAAGGCGGCCAGAGACAAGACAGTGAGGATGAAGAGCAGCAGGATGATAAAGCAGGCTACATTCCAGCCGTCGTGGAAAGGGTAGACCTCCTGGACCTGGAACGAGACATGGGAGAGAGGTGCCGCCTCTGGGTGCCATAGGAGATTACTTGGCTGTGTAGTGGTAGTGATGTTGGCCATGATTTCTGATTTTAAACGATAAAGAACAGGGAGAAAGACACATTGTTAATGCCTGTGACAGTGTTGGGTTCCAGGTTTCACGGCGAGTTGGTGAAGGCTTTATGGAAGCCAAATTTGAAAAATTATAGGTCGTAAAAATACTTACTTTTTATAAAATATTCACATAAACATTTACTTTTAATTGGCTCTGTAGTGCCAGAATTTGAGAATAATATATATCAAAAAAAAAATATAGATAGAGATGTATTATAAAAATCTCTACAGATGTTCATTTAATTTTCACTTTGACACAGCTAATGTGCAGTCTGACAAGAATGTAGTCTCACTAGAGACCACAAGCAGAATGAGAGAGCCATTTCCTCGCCTAAAACCATGAGGGCTTCTCTTGCTGCAATGTGATTATGATAGTAATACATAATTATCTATCATATAGGGTAACATGCTGTAAGAGGAGAAAGTGCAATGTCAGTGTGTACACAAAATATACCCTGGCCTACAGAAAGGATGTTTAGTTACAGAAGACACTGTGTTACTAGAGCAAAAGGTTGTATTGAAAAACAGCACAAACCCCACTGAGGCCATCTGCTCGGAACAAAAATAGACTTAAAAGCTCAGTAGAAAAGGATAGCTGCACAGTGAAATGTGGCACCTACACTGGGTTTGCATCTCTTTGGCCACAACACCTGACTAAAAAGGGATCTAGCAATAAAGTTAAAGGATGTTCTGCAATGTGCACACTGTCAGGCCGTTTGTCTCTCTTCAGCTTTCCTTCCACATTTTCAGCCAAAGCCGACCATCTTTAGTCCTCAGGGAACAGTGTGCCAGTATTTCTGCCCACACGCACGCATTCACACGTGCGCACATACATGCTAAAACACACACATGCACACACACGATCGCAGACATTTTCAGCTGACCCAGATTACTGGAGTGAACCACGGGAATGAGTTGAGGGAGAGGGGCATAAGTGCTTCTTTTTACACTAGGCTAATCCTGTAAGGTTACTTGTCTTTATGTGTATTTTCTGTGAAAGCTTGCAACTGGGCTTACTGTGTGTAAAAACACAGGCTTCCATGTATGCAAGATAGATTTGTGGCATCTTAGTGAATGTGAGTGAAGAAGTGAGTGAATTTTAGTGCACTTATAGGAAATAGGTGAATACTCTTTGTGTGATTGTAACTTTTCCGTGTTACCTGAAACTGTAATGCGATAGAAGCCATTGTTGCAGGGGCTTCATTTGTCTCACCTTACAGGATTGACTAGTTGTCCTTACCTAGGGTACTGCACATGTGCAACTCCCAACAAAGGTCGAATAGAAGTAAGATGCTTCACTCGGTATCTAAAACGGAGCGGTCACCACACAGGGTGAAAAGAGGAGCTGCAGCAATGTGCAGTATGACAAAAATATGGTGAAAATGAAACCATGTAAACCTATTCTGGTACAAGCCCTTATGAACCTGAAAGTGAGCATAATATGACCACTTTAAGTACAGTTTTGGTTTTGTCTGAAAACAATTTACACTTGCTTTTGAAAATAAATCAGCCTCTGGTCATAGTTCAAGCTCAAGCTAACTTTTCCTGCATGCTGATGACAAAATACTTAGATCATGATGGTATGATTTATATCAGGCTAGGTAAAACAGGAAAATAATGACTAATAAGGGGGTCACAAACAGTTAACTCTATTTACTGTTGCTGGTAATTGGTTTATGGGAGCAGACTGAAGCACATCTGTTGACAGTGTGCACAGAATGCAGTGAGTGTTTTGTGGTGTTTCCTTCTCAGTTGATGCAACTTATCTCACTGTTCCCTCTTTAGTATCCTCTTGTCGCAGACCCAGCTCATAATATCAACTTCACTTCAGTTCATTGCCATGACAACAACCTATTTTACTAATTTGTCTCGCCTGGTATTGCCACCCCCACCCCCGTCACACGCAGATTGGCTCCCTACAGCATCTGCTCATCTCGCCCTAAATGAGCCCCACCCCATCCAGGCTCTTAAAGGTGTTGTAGGACCAGATATTGTTCTCTGGCTACATAGCAGCTGGCTCTCCCCAAACACACACACACACACACACACACACACCAAACACACTCCCAGTCCCCCCTGGCCAGCACCTCACAGATGTCAGTCCCTCATTGATTTGTCTTGAGAGCTGCAGTTTGCACCGAGTCATGCATCTCCACCAACACAGACAAGACGCACATGAGTACACATAAAGACGTAGAAACACACACACACAGTCTCTGATGCTTGCTGTTCAAGCTGTTAGAGAGCAGACAGACAGATCCATGTTTATTTAATCTAATGCGTGTTTGCTCAGACTTGGACTAAATTTTACAATTTCCATCTAAATATCTTGGCTTAGTTGTTGTTCTAGTATAGATTACATGTTTACATACATAGTTGCTGGATGTGGTTCTGTGTGATTTTAGGTTGCTCTACTGCAGAAGGAATTAGGTTTATATAAACCAGCTGCATTTTAAAAATGTATGATTTTACCCTGTAAACGCCGGATTACTCACAAGTGACCCTTGTAGTCCTAGCTACACAGCGAGACCAAGAACAGCCAACAGCATGTAGGTTAAATTCATAGTGTGGATTGTGATCTGTTGATATCAAACACGCACACGTTATTCTGATTATGCTATTCCCAGTAATATGCAGACTCACCTGTGCGTCTGGCTTAGTCTTTAGAAGATGCAAGTCAACAGATGCACTCTCCTCTTTTTTTTTGGTGCTCCACCTACCGCTCTGTCCTCCACTCTCTCCCTGCTCTGCGTTCACTCCTCAACCTGTTTTCCTCCTCAGCGCACTCATGCACTTTCAGCCGTCGCCCGTGCACTCGCTCGCTCCCTCCTCCGCCACTCCTTGCAGCTCTTCATGCCTGGGCTGAACGGCATGGGCTCCTCTCCATCATTGGCTTTTCTTTTTAGCCCTGCCTCTGCACCATTCGATAATCGGCCTGTCACAATTCCAGTGTCCTGCCCCCAGCGCTGCTCACAGCAACAGAAGCTCCCGCCCACACCATGAATCATTCATGAATCAGTGTCTGTTTTCAGCTTTGATTGAGTGCTGAGTGCAGGCCAGACATTCGGGAGGGGACATTTGTTAAATTAAACAATAAGAGAAAAACAAGAAAATTTTGTAGATCTCTTACTGCATTGACGCTTTATTGATGCTTATGTTGTTCCTTAAATGTAAGTCTTTGGACAAAAGTAAATGTAATACAGCTGGTGATTTTCAATAAATCCCATGAAAAGACAAGTTAATAGCTTTTTCCTTATTATCTATTTCCTTATTTTGAGTCGATCCCACATAAACTGTCCTGCTGCTGTAAATACTCACAAGCACACCAAATGTGTGTTAATTCGCAGCTAGAAATAGTCCCCAACAGCTACACTAATCCTGTAAAATTTGGTTCAAACTACAGCGCCCCTGTGTAGGAAATCACTTAGCCTTGTTTATAATTGAATATCTGTGGACCCTTTTTAATGAATTACATCTTCAGTGGGAACAAATGGGATTGAGTCTGAATGCTACAGAGAGGACGGAAAATATTGAGACGGATTGACAAATATTTGGTTTTAATCTGCGGCTCAGGATGTAGAGCAGCTGTCCAATAATCAGAAGGTCAGGAAGTTCCCTCCCCGGGTCTACATGTCGAAGTATCCTTAGGCAAGATACTGAACCCCAAATTGCGAATGTGTATGAATGTGTTCATTTCATTTCTGTTCCTGATGAGCATTTGGCACCTTAGCCTCTGCTCATCACTGTGTGAATCTGTGTCAAGGGAGTGAATGCAATGTAGTATAAAAGCGCTTTAATTGGTCAGAAACACTAGAAAGGTGCTATTCAAGTACAGACCATTTACCATTTTCATGAAATTTGTTATGATAAGAACACTGTAGAATAAATTAGACTGATTAAATAAATAGAAATTTATATTGTCATCTGGTTGTTGTCGTCTGATGGTTTGAAAACAAGCTGGTGTGCAAATAATTTCTATTGATTTTTAACAGTTTTACCAGCAAAACATTTCTCACGGCTTATGTCTGCCCATATGCATAATGTGACATTTAAATATTTTGCCTAAACTTTTCATTCTCTTTGTCTCGACACAGAGTCTAGTAATGGAACCTTTAACATCAAGACAAGCTCTGGTTACAAGTTTGGCTGCCTAGCCAAGATAGTCAATTATATGAAGGTAAGCCTCTGAAAACATTTATTTTTTACTTTTAAAAAAAGAAAAAGAAATGTCCACGAGCAATTTAGTCATGATTGTATGATTGAATGAGCACCGTATCAGAAAAAAGGTGTTTCAGTCTGATGGATTTTGTTCCTCTCCAATTTTATTTAAGCTGTCACAACAGCATCCACTTGATTGCTTGATTTTATACTTGTCATCAACTCCGTCAAAGCTCTTTTAAAAGCTTGACTTGTTGTGTCAGCCCACGAAGTCAGTTGTGTCCTCTGCGTAACATTTGGTCCCCGGTCTTTCTTTTGGTATGTTAACAGCTTGTTTATCATGCTGTGGCTCTGCAAAGAGGCAGCGAGGCCCTGTCACACTAGCTGTCTGACTCATCCCTCGCTGCAGAACTCACACTCAAGTTGACAGATTTCCTTTTAATGTGTGCGTGCTTAATGCCATCTGTTTAACACAGAGTTTTAAACCGTGTAAAATACCCTGACCGTTGGATGTAAGGCACAAAATCACTGTTGACATTTGGCTAAAACCCGGTCAAAGGCGTGGAGCCAAGCATTGCTTACATTTTAAAATAAGTGCTTAGGAGGACTTTTATACTTTGTTGACTCTGTGTGTGTGTTTTGTTTGTTAATTCATGTGATTTTCGGTCTTCTTTTTTTTTTTTTTTACTCAGACAAGGCATCAGAATGGCGATACACACTTCCTGACCCTAGATGAGATTCTGGATGAGACCAAACTTCTAGACATCAGCATGAAACAGAAACAGTGGCTCATGACTGAGGTGTGTTTGTGTTTCTTAAGTATTATATTGCCTATTATTTATCATCAGGAGTACACTTGTCCTTATCTTGCACCATGTCACTGACATGTTTTACAGCTGAAATCCCACCACGTCACCCACTTGAGCTGGTTCTGAGCTACTTAGATCGTAAATCACATACAAATATAAATGTTTAAACTTCTGTCAATATGGACATGCTACACATTGTTTTATGGAATCCTTGAATACCAAAGTATAACACATTTAGATTTAACTGCATGGTAAACAAGAGCGACAGGAAGAAAAGTGGTCCCTACTTTTTGAAGAAGCCATAAGGTCAAAATATGCCCATTCCTTGATTAATAATAATTCTGTCATCCGTAAGGTTAATAATCCAAGTTGAAATAACCTTCTGCTTTCATCCTCCATTGAACAAATGAATGAGTTGTAATTGATATGTTATTCGATAGCCTCATTTTTATACAAATAAAATTCATACTGGTTTAAATAAAAGGTTCAGTGTGTAATATTTAGGAGGATCAATTTACATGTTTTCAGTGGTGTATAAAGACCTTACATAATGAACCGTTATGTTTTTAGTACTTTAGAATGAGCCATTTCTGTCTACATACACCGCACATCCTCTTACATGGAAGTCACCCTGTTGCGCTGCCATGTTTCTACAGTAGCAATAATGGACAAACTTCTCTACAGAGTGCGTTTCCTCTGTACATTGAATACGTACGAAGAAGAAGTAACATTAGTAGTAGTATTAGTTGTTTGGTTTATTAGAGAAAAGAAGAGACATCTGGACAAATAGAGGCCCACAGTAGCTTCTCCTAAGCTCTGCGACTGGTGGTGCATTCATGTGGTATCGGAATAATAAGAATCTATTGTCCTTCTTTAATCTTTATTGCAAAAAAAGAAATAGTGTGTACATGGGACATAAAGAAGTATGCTGAACTTTGATTTGTGCAAAATCACATACATATTTTGCAAATATGTACTTTGTGGTTAGAACGGTTAGTTTGCTGTCCATGTAGAGTGAATTAGATATCTGCGTGTTGTTTATATGCGCTGATAATGCTAATCCAACACATCTTTGTAGTAGCGTCCATGTTGACTTCACATTCTGACTTAAGAGCACACGCTGAAGTCGGAAGAATGACTTCACAATGTGAATGCAAATTATGAAGTTGCTTGTTGCAATTGACAACCCTCACCACTAGAGCACACTAAAACTTGCACACTGAACCTTTAAATAAACAATTTGATAGTATGTCCCATCTTTTCTGAGCAAGAGTTATGTGTGAAAGGAATTATAGATGCATGCAGTCCCGTATATGCGCCTGTCCCAAATTTAAGCAGGTTGAGTTCTATAATTGAAGAACAGAAAATCCCGGGCTATTAAGTAAAGTTTTACATTATTAAGGAAATCATTTTTTTGATATTCACATAATATTTACATCACCCACACAGTGTTTAAATACATATGCACATTTCCTAGCTGGTCAACTACTTAACTAGAGACTTAAAACCTGACATCTACTCCCTGACTTTCCGCCAATGTCAGGCGTTGGTCAACAATCCGAAAATTGACGTCCGGGACGGGACGTATGGCTTCAAGCCCAAGTACAACCTGAAGGACAAGAAAGCCTTACTGAGGCTGCTGGACAAACACGACCAGCTGGGCCTGGGAGGTGTGCTGCTGGACGATGTAGAGGAGGGGCTGCCCAACTCAGCCAAGGCCATCAAGGTAATGCTCAATAGATACAGATTATGCACAGTAATGCCACTTAATGCATACTGTACATTATGTTTGTGATTAAAGGAAGACACACACACATGTGCGCTGTGGTGACTAAATGCCATTAGCAGTGACATGTGCTCTCGTGTGTTCACAGGCTTTGGGGGATCAGATCATCTTTGTGACACGACCAGATAAGAAGAAGATCCTATTCTACAATGACAAGCACTGCCAGTTTGTGGTAGATGAAGGTGAGTATAAATCAGCTTTGTCAGTCAACTGTGATACGCATTGCTCTTTCTCTCTGTGTTGTTGTCTTTCTGTCTGTTCCTGGGTCTCTGCATTTAAAAGATTTGGCTGCAAGTTGTCAAAAATAAGCAATAAATTGTTTTAGTCATACAAAATACACCAAACTTTGGCTCTTCAGCCTTTAACAGACAATGATGTGAGATTGAGATTTTTGTCAAAGTGAGAGGCGCCTTTTTTGCATTCTGCACGCTGTTAATGCGCCTTGGTGTCCCTGACTCATACTAAAATAAGCCTTAAACTGACCATCATTAAGACAAAGCCCCTGAACCAACTGGTAGGCTACTACCAGTGGTGTCTCCCCTTTCTGAGGGTCTCATGTACCCACACGGATCTCCGTTTTCCTGTCTCCTGCGTGTTTGTACAGCTCTCACATTCAAAACAATGCCAGAGTAGGTGAACTCTGTTTGTCTATTTTTTTAAAGCAGATGTTTTTGCAATAAAAGGGGAGCCACTGATTTCATTAAGCGTTAATCAAACCAAATATATCCATCCATTCTCAACTGCTTACCCTGCGTACAGGGTCGCGGGGGGCTGGAGCCAATCCCAGCTGACATCGGGCGAAAAGCGGGGTACACCCTGGACAGGTCCAAACCATATATATATATATATATATATATATATATATATATAAAAATCAAAACTGAAACTAGCTTTACTCATGGTAAATGTTTTTACATGAAGTGGGGCAGAACTATGCTGAAATTATGCGAGCTTACCAAACTTCGTGAACCAATAAAAATGATAAAGGTCTCCCACCCAAACAGGTGCCACAAAAGAAATACGGTCAGACTATTTTCTATTATGCACAGTCTGCAGGCCCACTCGGCCCTCATGCTGCATTCATTTCATACTAGTTATTGTAATTATGAGATTCTGACTTGGAAATATTGTTCACGTCAACAACCACAGTATAATTATGAGACAGCAAAGACTGTTGCTCAAGGTGATTAAACCCAAATTTAATGGATATATTGTTTTATTGTTGAAACCCTCAACTCTGTAATCGTGCAACCTTCTAGAGCTCTCCTGTGATGTAAATGCTTGCAAGTTGTAAACATGGGAATCTTTCCCATCCCTAACATCCATCCCGTATGACGTGAAGGCGGCATCACGCTAGGTCCAATCAGGCATAATGAGTCAAAACACCTGCATGGGTGTGAAGAGCCTTTTCAAGTTAAGGTGAATTTAGGAGGAAGAATGGCTCAAAAAACGTCAGCTGGGTGCTGAGCATTATATTAGTGAAAATAAATAATTAATAACTCACCATTGCTCTCTGTCTGCTGTTGTCCGAGGACGTCCATCATTATCCCGGTCTCGCATGCAACAGGAGCATCAATCCCATAACAATGATTTTTCATATTTGCGAGTGGTGTCGTAACGTTATCGAGTTATCAAATGGATCAAAAATGTCATCTTTCAATTGAAGAATTCCAGAAACTGTGGAGGAGCGTCCCAGTTGATTCCATGGATGAAGAGAAGATTGAAGAGTACCTGAAGAAGCAAGGCATCTCCTCCATGCAAGAAACCGGACCAAAGAAAGTGGTCAGTGTCCCCTGGTCTCTCATCTACTTTAATTTTCATTCTAACTTCCCACACAAGTTCAGTATACTTGATCTGATTTATTTTACTAGTAATTAAGGCTTGAACATTTTACAACTGAATGTTGACATTTGTAAGTTGTCAATCAAGCATCTTAATCTGTGCCGATTGTGTTTCTGTGTTCACTACAGTTACCAGTTCAGAAGCGGAAGAAGCAATGTGGGCAGAGGAAGAGACACTTCAAGACCCACAACAACCATTTGGCAGGCGTCCTTGAGGACTATTCAGATGGTGTTCCTGCTAAGAAGTGAAATCCATTCACTGACTGCGTTTCCTCAGGAGAGATTTTGTCTGTAATGAGAAATGGCTGCAGACCCTGGCCGCAGAAAGACTATTTCATGGTTGTCTCTTGTGTCAAAACAAACTAGATTATTTTCCTTTCTTTGCACTCCTCTCAGTGACCTTGTATTACATGGAGTGAATAGCAAATGTGTTGTGGAATCATTTTTAGTTTGTTTATTAAAGAGTATGGAGACCAGTAAGGACGCTGAATGCCCTTAACAAAACGACCATCCTGAGAGGGGGTGCTGTAGCCTTAGTGTTAAAATGTAAATGAGGTTGAAGTGTGTACATACTTATTTCTTCATTTTATTTAGTATATTGCAAAGAGGTGGGTGTCCTTTTTTAATAGCAATTGCAGAAGACAGGCTTACGTTACGCAGTGTATCACATTGAGGTACCTCATCCAGCATGAAATATCTTGGACATGACTTCTTGTGGAATTTAAAAATATTTAAATTCTTTCACTTTGCAGCACCATGGCTTACTGGTTTAAAATACAAAAACCTTTTGAACTTATTTTAATAAATTACAGTTACAAGATATACTGCCTTGTTGCTTGATTTACACACATTACATTTATTATAGTAGGTTGTCATTTGAAATGCTAACTTTTGTGTTAAAGTGTTAAATGAAAATTTAAGTATTTTCATTTACTCTTTATTTCTCTCAATCTTTAAAATCTGGATATACACTGAAAACATTCCACTATCTTATGTATTCTTACTGCACAATTTATAACCAAATGATGAAATTACCAGTAACCACTAGGATCATAAATTAGTATATCCTGCACACCATCAGTATTTTTTAGGTTATTTAATTAATCATAGAAACGGTACATCAGCACAGCAAGATGAAGATAAAATGCTTAATCAGCTGTTGCGGTTAGAGTAGAAAATATCAGTAAATAAGAAAAGGTACTGATGAAGCTAGGTACATATATCATTATATACATTCATGCTTCTTTCCAGCAAGATCCATTTAAATTAGTGTTTGCTAGCCATTTACAATTCAACTTTAAAAAAAAGTGTAAAGTTAAATCTTAGCTAGCACTGTGGCCTGCTTTAACAGTTTTCTTCAAATGGTGGTAGTTTGGCAAAATCTTCATCAGAAAGTCGAGCTGAAGAGTCTGGGGCTGTGAAGATGACAAAACAAACATCCTAATAAGCTGATTTCTTGTGTGGGGTTGAGTGGGGTTTTTCAAAGTCACATTGGCCTGTTTGAAAATACTGCACCAAAACTTAAAACCACAGTAGACCAGAAATACATTTCTTTATAGCATTTTCCTGAACAGGCTGGGTAGACTGGGAAATAAAATACATATGCATATGTATGCAGTAATGTGCAAAATCCCATAGGATATAGAGGTACCGTAAGTGTTAATGTTGCTGCATCCTTTTTTTAAGTTAGTGGAAGGCTGTAAAAATGTGTTTGAACTTCATTTTATGCTTTTATGTACCATGTATTTTGGTTTGAAAAGACAATTACTTTTAATATTTGTATACGGAGCTTTTAGACATGACAAACGCTGACATAGTCGAAAGACCAGCAAAAACTATGACATGACTGAAAAGTGTAACTATTCAGAGCAGGTTTTTACCAATACGCACAGTATGTAACAGTTGCGTTTAAGTTAAGTTACTCAGTACAAATTCAGTTTGACAAATAGACCTGATTCTAACTCAATGTCTACTAAAACATGTTTGACCATTCAGACAGTTTTCTTTTTAAATTGTGGGACAGCATACAGTCCACATTCACATACAGTATTATGTTCATCAGAATGATAATGAGACTGTTTTTGATGCTTGTAATAAATGAACTGCCAGAAACTATTAAATGGACTATCTATCCCACATACAACAGGTGGCTGCACTAGCACTAAAACCTGTACATTTACTATGCAGTCTACTAAAACACCACCGGAAACTGCTGCCTCCAGTTACCATAGCGTTACCACATCAACACTTCTCTGACAGAGTCTCAACAAGAAAACATATTTTAATGGTGTACCTGTAAGCACAAGAAGTGTTTGGGATGCTCTGGTTTTGATACTGCAAAGCTAACCACTAGCCTGGTGTACCCGTTTACACCCCACACATGTTCATTCATACCTGTGGTCTCTCTGTCTGAACCCGCCTCATACATCCGGAGCCGAAGATGACCGTGTTCTCAGGTATGACTTCACAGGTGTTCACCTGACAGAAGGCTCCAATGATGCAGCCACTGGTGAGGATCACATTCCTGCCCACGTCAGCTAGACAACAAAATAGAGGATATTTGAGTGACTTTGTTCATCTGAATGCTGCATCCATCTCTGCAGATGTGGGTTGCTCACACCTGAACACACACTGAAAGTCAAACAAAGACAAATATCCCACCTTTAGATTCAATCACGTTGTTGTCCCCAATTTTCAGGGCTTGTGATACTGTTAGATCCCAGCTAAGGAAAAACTGATTTTTGATAGTTAACGTTCATGAAATGGTTACAATATGAACTCATTTGACTTATAGAATAAGAATGGACAGGCAAGTCAAAAGGATACCACAGCCAACTTCAAATACATTGTTCATGCCAATGGTCATTGTCTTTGGTTCCACCTCAGAATCTGGTGTGATGTTTTCTGGGTAACTGTAGGGCAGAACAAGCAGGCTTGTAATTATTCCCATGCAGAGAAGGATGATTTCAAAGATTCCAAATACTGTATGTGTAACAGTCATGTACATGTATACAGCCAGGTACAAGAAATCTTAAATTACCCATTAATGATCAGAGCTTGCTCCTCGATCAGATTGCCTTCTCCAATCACGATGGGCCCTGCCTCTGCAATGATACGAGCTTTTGGGTGGACTACAGTCCTGGGGCCTGAGGAAACACAGAGTTTTTTAAATTTGTGTGATCGTTGGATCACACGCGTTAAGTAAACCTGCAAAAGTATAACCAAATTCAAGATAACTTAACGTGAAAGGAATGTAAGGTTTGTCGAGTCGACAGTAATTACTTGTAAGTGACAGCGAAACATCTTACCTATGGTGACATCTCCTCTAATCTCACTTTCAACACAAACTACGGCCCCAGCGGCTATTTTTACACTGGGAAAAAAGTAAAACAGTGACATGTGAGAAAAAAGGATGAAAATGCTGACGATAGCTAACGGTGCTAGCTAGCTAAATCGCATATCCGTCTTCACTAGCTACATGGTTACTTCATTGTGGCTATTTAGTCATCATTCCCTTCATTATAAAGGTTCAGCTAAGCTATTAAACGTTATTAACGTGCTAACATCAATATTACCTTTTCTGGGCATTTTGTTTATCTGCCATTGTGGTAGATGATGTCCGGTGGGAGGCGCCGTCGATGAACTCGATGATCGATTTGGAGTCCTTGCTATCACAGCGCATGCGTCAGTTCAGTTCACAAAAATCAATTGAAAAGAAGGCTACGAGGATTCAATGATGAAGGCAATCTGGTTAAAGTTGGGTTCTGCTCATTTGAAAAAACGTCTATAGTTTAAACAATATATTAGACACTTAAAAACAGTTAAGTATAGACGTGCAACCCCATTTATAACCTTAGCACTCCATAAATTAGTGTTTCGGTCACATTAAAGTTTCATTCAGTGGGTCGTCTGTGAGACCCTGGATGTGTTTTGTGTACCTGGTGGGGCCAAAAACCAACGTGTAAATCCAATAGACTCATGTGTAACTCAGTGAAAATACCCAGACCCCAAAATAAACTGGCTATTTACACCTGCAAATGCCATATATCCAAAGGTAGTTTGTTTAACGTTCATCACACAAATATCACACACTAGGTCAATCAATGTGTTATGGTGGCCTCAGACGACCTGAACAACAGTTTGCGCCAATAATGTACTTTGTCCCTTGTCGCTCCCCCTACACTGTCAAAACAAGGAAGGGGCTATGGCAAAAAGGAAACTAAGGAACACCTCAAAAGACACATCTTCAGTTGTAGGGGTGAAGGCAGGGCAGAAAGAAATGACCCAACCATATCACTATGATATGTTTACCTTTGCTGCCATTGCTTTGGTTGTAGCCGTTTGCGTGGTTCCACTGACAGCTGAAATATCCATCTGTAAGTACCAACCCAGGACAGTTGAGAAGTAAAAAACCTAAAAAAAACAAAAAAAAACGAGGATGGTGCTTCGTAGCTAACTTAGGTTAGCTATAACTAGCTGCCTGCCTAATGTCCTGCACAGTTTTACACCATTTTTCTCTTTATGTGGTTTAAATGCGTCTTGCAGCAATGGTGCTTCACCAACCAACTGACGATTCGCCACGATAGGTAACGTATGCTGTTTAGGTATTCAGCGATTAGCTAACTGAAGTCATAAAATCTAGTAGCTGGGGGCTAAGTGTAGGCAAAACAGCACCCACTCAAGGCGACAGTCTAAGAATGAGCTTCAGTTTGAACTTCCCTCCTGGGGGTAGTTTACGGATTAAATCAGCATGTGACCACGGGGCTCTGCAGCCATAACTTCAGCCCTTTCACATGTTTCCTCTTTAAGGGAGAAACGTTAGCTGACTGCATGTCGCTTGCAGTTAAATTGGGCCGTTTCTCTCACTCTGGCTAACTTAACTATCCATGACGATAGCAGTGAACTACAGGTTTGAGGTAAGTCACAGAAAGCTAGGTGCACATCTGTAGCCTGTAGGAAGGCATTTTAAATCAAAGCCTTCACGGTATGATTTCTCTGACTTGTACCCTTATTGTTCGTCAACATGGAGTCAGGGAAGCTGCGGTTATTTGACGCATTGTAATCAGTGCAATAGCAAACATAGTGCTATGTGTTTCTGATTAAATTAATGATGTCCATAACGTCTGTTCAGTGAACAGTGGCTTCACATTTGGGTGTGGTTAACTACACTCTAGACTGCAGCATCTTTCCTGCATGTTTTTGCTTTCTGTATAGCAAATAGATTTGCTGATGGATTTTGACAGATTTGCACAATGTGTACTGCTATTTCTTACTCCAGCTGGCTTCCCTCATCATCATCCGCACATAGTCCTGAGGATGGATGAGGCATTTCTGACTGTCAACAATGAGCTGGACACTGAGGTGGTGGTGTCCTGGATGTCAGAGCGCTGCTACCAGGTAGGCTCACACATATGAGTAGTGACACACCTTAAACGCCTCACTAGCGCCTGACAAGTCCTCTGCGATCTGACCGACCTCTCACCTGCGATTTCCACAGTGGTTACACTGGCGTAATACACCTGTGGTGTAGGCGATGTGTGCTTCATTTAGGTGCAGCGTCAACACTTTAATATGATTGATTGTGTCCCGCCTATCCTATGAAGATTATGTTTTGAGACTTGTGATGGACATCAATGTGTCATGTGCCTGTACATGTAACTGGGAATTTTCAATTTGCTTAGTGGTGAAATGTCAGACGTTGGAGGAGGAGGAGGAGGAAGAGGATGATGTTCTGATCTGGGCCTTTGTTGTGTGCTAGTGTTTGTACCAGCAGCTAGGGGTGGTACCTGCAGGGCCAAGTCCTGGCCAGCCCAGTTCAGTAGACTTCGTTGTGAGCACACAGCATGGGATTACACTACAGCTCAACAGCACTCCTATCAACCTGGAACTCTGCACGTAAGTTAAAAAAAAAAGAAATGTTTCACATACACCAGAGCTGAGAATATACCTTTATAAAAAACAGGAATTCAGGAAGCTTTCCAGGGGGAAAAGTAACTCAAGTTGAGGCCTGAATTTCCTAGTTCTAGATGCACAGTTATTTGTTATATAATAAGTATTTGCTGCTTGTGTCTTATGAAACTGAATATCAAGCAATATAATACTCTGGGCTATATTAAATAGCAATGGGCATATTTTTTGTAAATTAAACGATTGATCAATATTTCAAGAAAATCTACAAGTAAATTGATGACAATAATTGTTAGTTGTAGCCCTACATTTTTACTACCCTACAAGTTTATAGTTGGTGGTAGTTACTATTCTATTATTTGGAATAAATAATTGTCTTTAATGAAACTTCTTTGCCACTCACTCGTTAAACACAGAGAAAGGTAAAGCAGAAATTAAAAGCGAAAAACAAAATGTGCTTTTCTATGGAAAAAATCTAATAAAAATAGTCATGATTTTGTTGAAGTAAACTATGACTCTTATTGTTTTAAAACATTTATATACATTTATATATGTGTGTGTCAATTTTAATTGCTAGGGTTCCATTCCACTTTGGAGAGCATGGGAACTACTCTCTGTGGGTGAAAAATCTGAACGACTCCTCAGTGGTCAACTGCTCCGTAGTAACTGATGCAGACCCTGTCAACAGCTACATACGTGAGTCTCGCTTATATAAGCACATTTATAAGTTTGCATGACATGGACTTGTGTCAAGTGTTTTGACTTATTGGTGCTATTGTCATCCCTACCGTGTTGTACAAAGACCGTGCTACATTGAGATAATGACCCATTCTCTTCACACAGCAATCTTGGTAGCTTTTCTTATCTTTGCTGGGCTGGCCTTGGTGTCTGCCATTGGAAAAACATTATTAGGGTAAAGTAATTTTATTGTTTTTTTTACTTCTCTATTGGTAGGAGTAGAGCTCTATAGGTAGTAGAACTAGTTCATACTAATTAGAAAATCTTGACAGCCTTGCATAAATATACAAACAAAAACAATATCTATATATGATATATTAAATTAAGGATAACCTGATTACATTTAAAACATTTTTTTGGGATATTTGTCGCAGTGCTGTGTCCTCAGCCTCTCTTGCTAAGGTTCCTGCCAAGCACAAAGCTCCTGCTGCTGTATTCATGTGTCTCATGTATGAACTGTGAGCTTGTGTGCTTTATAGAATTGCTCCTAAACTGGTTTATTGCTTCTTGTCCAGGCTCGATGTAGTGAGGGGTTTCCTCTTTCGAATTGGCGGCTCCATGGAGACAGAGAGGCTCATCAACTCCGTGAGTGTTTGTGTGGAGGGAAGTCTTCCAACCACAAACTGTTAGGACTTTATTTAGCCAAGATTTAAATTTTTCCATTATGATGCATCCTGCTATTATTATTATTATTATTATTATTATTATTATTATTATTATTATTATTATTAGTGTGCTTTTAGTTGGACAGTGTTGAGATCTAACTACTATCATTCAGGAACTGGGCTCCCCTGACAGGACAGTGGCAGCAGTTACTGACAACATCCTCCCTCCACCACCCAGTCCCAGCAAGAGGCTGCGGTCTCTGGACACATTCAGAGGGTAACCACCCCTCCATACATGCCTGCAGCTCAGCTTTCTCAGTGAAAGATGAAAGATATTAGCTGAATTAACCCTCGGCCTGATCTGTCATTATGCTGTATCATGTGATTCTCACTGTAGTATGACATTTTGGCAGCTGACACTGGAATTTCCACTCATTACTGAGCCCCTACTGATAATAATTAACATGAATTCTGTGCCTTGAAGTTGCAGTATTTGTTTCAAGGGATTTCTTCTTCCTGAAGTCAACCATTTGTCCATATTTCTGTTATATTTAAACTTTGCATCTTTTAAAACAAATAGTCTTTGTAACTTTGCTTGTCTTGTTTGGTATAACATCTTGCTTCTAGTACTTAATGCCTTTCAGTAATGATGCGTTTTCTCCTATTCCCCATCAGTATCTCTTTAGTCATTATGGTGTTTGTGAACTATGGAGGGGGACGATACTGGTTCTTTAAACACGAAAGCTGGAATGGTGAGCCTTTCCTCGTTCTGATTTTTTTTAATTAACCAGTCATCAATGAGTCATTATTCGCAGATCTTTGTAACCTGCCTTGGCACCTTCCTTGGTATTGTAGTTGATTTTGAAGACAACAATGATTTTGTTTCCCATTTGTCTCCTTACAGGGCTTACTGTTGCAGATCTAGTCTTCCCTTGGTAAGTTTCATTAAAATTCCCTGGCATATCTTAATAGTGCAGATTAATTGAGCCCACTTTTGAATTGGAAAGTTATTTGAATACTCTTAATTTCCACTCACGCATTAAAGTAAATATACAGTAATATTCTTATATAATATATTCTTCTGTATATTTATTTGTAATAATAATGACACTATATATAAAAAAAGAGCACCAGAACATGAAATCATTTTACTTTATTCCAGTCACATTCTGAAATTTGCCCATTAAATAAAGGTGTTAATGCTTTGACCAACTGGCGTTTGCAGGGTTCCCATGTGTCCTGAAAAACCTGGAAAATAGTTAACCAATTTTGCACTCATGGAAAACAGACAAAAAGTAAAGTGTCCTGTGTCTTGTGTTGTCCTGGAAAATCATTGTAACGTTATGTTGCGGTTGCTATGTTATGCTGCGGCAGCATTGTAAACACACCCCACAGTCATGTCATGTGGTAGCACAGGTTGGATGATATTAATTCGGGTGACCGAAACTCTGAATAATGTAAGTAGCATTATCCTCCAAAGATAAATATTAGTCACTGCTAGCTGGTAACTATGTTAGTTTTATTATGTTTATAACGTTTTCTTCTGAACTTGTTTTAAACAGTTGAGTAATGTTAAATTAGTCAACATGTTAACATTAAGCCGGGGTCAAAACAATGAATTGAAATTGTCACACCTATGAAGTAGTCCCAGTTTTTGACCATATTACATTTGCACATCAGTACACCAAGATTGTTGTAAAGTTTAAATAAAGTGTGGCGTTGTGACAGTGGTCCCATGGATGTACAGAGAGCAACATGTATGAAATAGCTTTCTGTACTATTACACTGCATTTGGTTAAGGACCACAGTGATGTTAGAAAGCTAAGGTTCAACAGAATGATGGGATCTGTTAGTAGGAAAACTTGCATGCTGTTATTTGTGTTGAGGCTATTAAGTTATTGGTCTTCAGGCAGTAGTGGTTAAAATATAAACCATAAGAAAAGCACTTGCCAAGCATAGAATACAAAGGACTTTCCAACCGAAACAAAAAAATTCAATGACAATACTATTTAAAAAAGTACATTTAACGACATTTAAACATAGCATTAAAACAAGGCAAGTAATAAACAGTAAAAAGGAAAAAAGCAACAGTAAGAGATGATTTCATAGATAAGTTATAGCCATAGACTGCATGTCTTTAAAATCTGACTTCTGCAGAGAGGAACATATTATTGTGACATGATATCTGTCTGTAATACCTACTAGAGCATCACTGAAAATGTCCTGGAAAATGATCCCTAGAAAAAAGTTGGAACCCTGGTTTGTCGATGTGTTGTACTGTACATGCTGCAAATGTCTGTGTTTTTGTTGTATTTCTATTATTAGCTAATTCTGTCTGCAAACCAAAATGTTCCTAAAAGGCAATAAAGGTTTGAGCTTTCTTCGTGGCACTTTGATTTGAAGCTGGACACACACATTAAAGTTCATCTCAAAAAAGAAAAGGGAATACACCAAACCAAAATAATAAACCATTCCCTTTTTCCCTCAGCAAAGCTTCCAGTCAACAAGTGTAAAACAAAAGCTCATATTGTGAATGAACCTTATCTCATTTTCACCTTACACCTCTTTTTGTCTCATTTACTCACACTTTGCGTTTCCCTCCTTCACCAGGTTTGTGTTTATAATGGGGACATCTATCGCTCTGTCAATCAACTCCCTGCTCCGTGCAGGCTCGACCCGCTGCTCACTGCTGAGGAAAGTTGTGTGGAGGAGCCTGCAGCTCTTCCTGATTGGTGTCTTTGTCATCAACCCAAACTACTGCCAGGGACCACGTGAGTATAAACACACTCTTTGATGTTGACTATAATAACACAAACCATTTAGATGACTAATAGACCACGTTCTTTAATACTGCTCCAAACATTTGGACTTGTGTGGTAATTTCTTCATGCCTGTTTCTCCTCGCTTGTGTGCTCACACTCCATCCCTATCCACTCCCCAGTGTCTTGGGACAATCTGCGGATCCCAGGTGTGTTGCAGCGCCTGGGCTTTTCATACCTAGCTGTAGCCTGCCTGGATCTCTTGGTGGCGAGAGGTCATCTTGACATCCTTACAACGGTCAGCCAACAACTGCCCTCATTTTTTAACTTTTTATTTAAGAGTTAGCTTAAATAAAAAAACGGTATCTAGTGTAAAAACACTACAGTGCAAACTGTAAATGAGGGAGTGTTTATGTTTTCCAGGATGTTTGGTGGTCACCTGGCCTTGACATCTTGCTGTACTGGCCAGCCTGGCTGTGTGTGCTTCTCTTAGAAATCATCTGGCTATGCCTCACTTTCCTACTTCCTGTACCAGATTGCCCAATGTGAGTCAAACATGACGTGTTTGTGTGTCTTTTTGTATCCATGTAATAAGGGAAATGTTCTACAAACAACACAGTTTTGTCCACTTCTGAAAAGTATTATAAAGTGTATTTGGTGTTTTCTGTGTGTTTGTGTGTGAAACACAATGTCAGCTTACTCAGATTATCAGTCTATGCTTTACTAGTGTCTATCGCTAAATTTTTTTATTTAGAACCAAGGTTATGTTGTAGTTATAAAACTTTTTTGTTCATTGAAATATATTTAAAGAACTGCACAGGCTTGCCAGAGGAATGCACTCTGACTGCTTTGTGGTTGGCAGTGTAAAATGCTAAATTGCTACATTTTTTTTGTTTCTTGTAATTATTATACAAGTCGAGAACACTTCCTCTTATGACACCTCAAACCCCTAACTTCTACACGCATTTCCTGTGCTCTTCTTCTTCTTCTTCCTTACAATTCTCTTGTATTTGTTGCACTATTTCCCTAGTTCTTTACCCCATCGATGCTGTATGTGCTAATAGCTTTTACTAGTATTTATTGCTGCTCTTCTTACTAGTATCTTCTGTCAATAGATCTCTTACTGATTTCATGTTTTATAGATGCTTGTATGTTGTTACTCAAATGTAATTTGCTTTGGATAAAAGCGTCTGCCAAATGAGTAAATGTAATTATAATGTATTGTTTTGCGGTATATTTGTTAAGCTTTTACTCAACAGAGATGAGACAATACAACTACGGATGCACTGATCTGATACTGATATTGGATATTTAATTAACAATTGAAAATAGGAGATGAAACAAACTTTTAATCGTAATTGACTGAATCCCTTAAAATTCCAACCTTACTGTCCTGTTTGTTTTTTAAACAAACAGGACAGTAAGTAAACCTTGGACTTTCTGTCTATACCTTTTTACCCTGCATTTATTACACTGACTTGACCCCACTCTTCTGAACAGAGGCTACCTGGGTCCAGGTGGGATTGGGGACATGGGTCTCTATGCTAACTGCACGGGTGGAGCGGCTGGTTTCATTGACAGATGGCTGCTTGGAGCAAACCATATCTACCAGACCCCCTCCTCACGGGTTAGTGACCAGCAAAACAACCCAAACAGTAGTCACATTTACCGGTAGTCTTTTCTTAACTTGGGATGTTAACCTTGACCTTTTTATATATCAGGTTTCTCTCGGATAAGCCCATACACAATTTATAACCCCAGCCATGCTAACATTACAAGTGATGCAAGGGAAAGCAGTGTCAGAACACAAGTATGTTATTATAAAAATCCACTTCTGTTTCCATTTGAATTAAGGTGACTTATGCAACTCATATGCCATATGACCCAGAAGGTGTTCTTGGCAGCATCAACTCTATCGTCATGGCTTTTCTTGGATTACAGGTGTGCAGTGTGTATTTGTCTGCTAGTTCTCTTCCTTTTTGTCTCTTGCTCTTGTTTTAATTGTATTTTTATTTGTTCCCAGGCAGGAAAAATAATCTTACACTACAGAGATCTCCCCAGAAGTATAATGTCAAGGTTTCTTATATGGGGTTTGTTTTTGGTAAGCCCATTCACTTGTTGTGTAACATCTTGTGCTTCTACAGTATGTGCGCATAAAGTATTTATAGTTGAGTCACTGTTTTGCTAAATAAGATGTTTTCACACATTTATTTTGTGACACTTTTGCTTTCCTGAGTTAATAATAAAGTCTCTTGTAACACACAGGGAGGCATATCAGCAGTTCTGACCAAGTGTTCCACAGACCAGGGCTTCATTCCTGTAAACAAGAACCTATGGTAACGTTTGCTTTTATGCACTTTCAGATGGAACAATGTTTGCTGAGCAGCTGCTTTTCTTGGTATCTGATGACTTAACATTAGGGAAAGTTGCTGCAATCAATAGGCAGTTTAAAAAGTTATGAGACATTTATTGTTGTGTAACACAGGGCTTAAAGTTCTCCGGCGCTGTGCCGGAATTCCGACGCGAGGCGGTTTTGTATTCGACAATATATAAATATGTCTGTGGAAAATATTCTTGGATATTTTTTAACTGTCGCATGTTAGGTGTGTGTTTGAAGCGCCAGTCTTCCTCTGCACAATTGGTGGCTCGGTGTCGGTGTATACCGAAAGAAAGGGGACTGACACTTCCTGGCGACGTGGACACTCATTGGCTATTGTAGGCCGTGAACAGGGCATGGAAGTTTCTTTTGGGTCAATTAAGGTGTCACTCAAAAAGTCAACGTGTAGACCTTTTTATATATAGCCTATGGTGTAGACGCGTTTTCTATTTACATGCTAGCTGTAGTTACGCTAATATAAAGCGACGCAATAGCAGTCCGTATGTATTTATTGAAATAATAATGCGTTTTGGACTAAATATTTTACTGGATTGGATCGTCTGTACCTTTGCCAACTTAACTCAACAAGGCCATTTTTGTGGAATGTAATCCACCGGTGGAGTGCGGCTTCACAGATATGTGGTGTCAATTTTGGTAATAGGCAGTGCTTGAAGTGGGCCACCGATACCAGTAAGTTACTTCTACGTTTCGCTCTTTGGCGTCCCGGGACTTTTCTAATCTCTGTCGGCCGAGACGGAGCAGGTAGAAGCTCGGTGCCTTTCATGCAGCCTTGAGCTCCCATGTGAATGGGCAGTTCTAACCATAGACTGTATGGTTCTAACGTTAACTTAGCTCTTCTTATTAGCTAGGCTCCTTACGTGCTGGCTAATAACTTTTTTAAGCTGGGCGTCCACAGCCTTGTGTTGGACAGATTTGTGCAGCGGTGTTCATGAGGGAGAGAGAGAGAGAGGGACGAGCGAGAGGATGTGCTGCGTGAATGCGCTACGGTGCTCTGCAGTCAAATACCATTTTAAATAGGCCTAGTAAATAAAATAAAAAATTAACTGTATGGGAAACACTGGCAAAAAATAGTTTAAAACCACAATTAATCCATCTGGTTTCTTCATCTTTCACTCAGGAGCAAAAATCTGCCTTATAATGATTTGACATTTATCATAAGAATAATCGATATTGAATGATGTGAAATGTTTTATCGTGATAACATTTTCAGCCATATTGCCCCGCACCTATATTTTCCACTTCAAGCACTGATTATAGGTGATGGCAGAAAATGTTACCAGAATGCAGGAAATTAACTGTTTAATGCTCAAAAATGATCCACATTGAACGTTTTATCAAACCAGTGTACAATTATCTTCTTGTCTTTTCCTTGTAAACCCAGAATTGTGTTTCTTCATGTTTCCTGAGCCAAGAGTAATCTGAGTAATCTGAGTCTCTATGTCCCCGTCAGTTTTCAACACAAAGTTACGCTCTTGCCCGCTACCCTCCATCTCATCTGCTGTGTACTATGTCTTCTTGTGCCTATCATATTTTATCTTTTGGTGGGCCAGTGGCAATTTCCCAGCTTGGTGGATAATACATTTTTTAGGCCCTTCGTTTTTTTGCTTTAAAACAAAATCCCCGTACTGTCCAGATTTCCCACATTTGCATTTAATTCCTAGCCAGCTTCCCCCCTAGTCCTAAATATTGAACACACAAATTTTTACTGAAAATGTAGTCCAAGAGTGTAACTAGCCTAAATTTTTTAGCACAGGGTCATGCTGGTCACCCATCCATGCCGCTGAAAATCAGAACCATCAAAAGTTGTTAAACTTTAGCACAAGCCGCTGCCAATAATGGCCTTTAAATTACAGGTGTGGTGTTGTTTTGTCATGTATGAAAGTAGCTTTGTGAAGTTAGACTGGAGATAAACTATAGAAAATCTCCAGACAAATGAAAGCTCCCCACACCTGCAGGGATATCTTTGATGAATATTGGCACACTTGCAGGGATATCCTTGATAAATGTTTGCAGTGGAATGTATTTTAATAATGCTGCATGTACCTGTTCATTTCACTTCTAGGTCTCTGTCATATGTAACAACACTGGCCTGTTTTGCATATGTGCTGCTTGTGCTGGTGTACTACACAGTGGATGTGAAGAAGTGGTGGTCCGGAGCACCTTTCTACTACCCTGGTGAGCATTGCACAGCTTCAAGACGCTGTGTCTTGAAGGCTTCGTTTTAACTATGGAGTGATACATCTTGCCTCTACATGGTCTTTGTTGGCAGTTGCACATGCGCGATTCCTAGTTAAGGACTACTAGCCAATCATAAGCAGAGTAGGGCGGGTCGTGAGAAGCCGGTAAAAACAACACCAGTTCAGCTGTAAATGTTCCCCATACCAGCTTGGCAACATAGACTGGAGCAAGAGTTTCAGAGTGGTGAGTTATTAATCTGTAACAAAAGTATCTTTCATCCAAAAAGTTCATTTTTGGGTGAAACTTTTCTGTCCATTGACTGCTTGGAGAGAAGCTAGGGTTTGGAAGGGAGAGGAGAGGTGTGCTGCAGCTCAGTGTTTTTACACCGGTATTTTTGAGGGCGTGGCGGAGTAGCCGCTTCGCGAGCATTATATGAGGCGCATTTTGCTTTCATCCCTGTGTCGTCAGGGATGAAAGGGAAATGGCTGGACTACAAACGAGCTGTTTTCAGGCAGTTCAGAACAGAGTTTTCTGTAGGAGATGGAAACTCCCTTTGGGCTGGACTTTGGGCTTTTTCACTTTGCAAACCTATTACATGCACAAAAAAGATATATAACTCAATAAAGGAGAGGGAAAAAGCCAAAAAGCATAATATGACCTCTTTAAGTTTGAGATGAGTAAAGTGTTCTGGTATGTTTGGAGATGGATATTAGTAATTATGATCATAAAGTCTTTGCAATCACTAAAATGTGTAACTACTGTCATGGTCTGTCTGTTTGGGCACAGAGAAATTGGATCTGCCAAATGTACTGTATATTTTCAGTACCTTTTAGAGTTTTAGACTATTGGTGTGAAAATCTCAAAAAGTCATTTGGACTTTTACTCTACGTGTGTGTTTCCAGGAATGAACTCCATCCTCGTGTACGTGAGCCATGAAGTGTTTGAGGAGTACTTCCCCTTCCGTTGGCGCATGGCCAACAGCCAATCCCACGCGGAGCACCTCACCCAGAACCTTGTGGCTACTTCCTGTTGGGTCTTCATCTCCTACGTGCTTTACAGAAAGAAGATTTTCTGGAAAATATAGAAGTAGAGTCCCTAAATGAAGGGACAGCGAAACCAGAGGACAGTGTTTACATCAAAATTGCTGGAGTTAAAATCTGACAATATTAGGAAAGAGGAGACTGATTTTTTATTTTTTTTTTCTTGTCAAAACTATGGTGGTTTTCTGTCTCTGAACACACACACATATATATATATATATATATATATATATATATATATATATATATATATATATATATATATATATATATATATATATATATATATATATATATATATATATTTCTCCCACGTTTTTCAGTTTTTTATTTTTATTTTTACTCACTACTTTATACGACCATAACTACTTTTTCCAAAGACCTTCGGACATGAAGCAGCTGATCCCTGCCAAATACAGTGAGGAAAATAAGTATTTGAACACCCTGCTATTTTGCAAGTTCTCCCACTTAGAAATCATGGAGGGGTCTGAAATTGTCATCGTAGGTGCATGTCCACTGTGAGAAACATAATCTAAAAAAAAAAAAATCCAGAAATCACAATGTATGATTATTTCTTTGTATGATACAGCTGCAAATAAGTATTTGAACACCTGTCTATCAGCTAGAATTCTGACTCTCAAAGACCTGTTAGTCTGCCTTCAAAATGTCCACCTCCACTCCATTTATTATCCTAAATTAGATGCACCTGTTTGAGGTCATTAGCTGCATAAAGACACCTGTCCACCCCATACAATCAGTAAGAATCCAACTACTAACATGGCCAAGACCAAAGAGCTGTCCAAAGACACTAGAGACAAAATTGTATACCTCCACAAGGCTGGAAAGGGCTACAGGGAAATTGCCAAGCAGCTTGGTGAAAAAAGGTCCACTGTTGGAGCAATCATTAGAAAATGGAAGAAGCTAAACATGACTGTCAATTTCCCTCGGACTGGGGTTCCACGCAAGATCTCACCTCGTGGGGTCTCAATGATCCTAAGAAAGGTGAGAAATCAGCCCGGGAACTACACGGGAGGAGCTGGTCAATGACCTGAAAAGAGCTGGGACCACCGTTTCCAAGGTTACTGTTGGTAATACACTAAGACGTCATGGTTTGAAATCACGCATGGCACGGAGGGGTTCCCCTGCTTAAACCAGCACATGTCAAGGCCCGTCTTCAGTCTGCCAATGACCATTTGGATGATCCAGAGGAGTCATGGGAGAAAGTCATGTGGTCAGATGAGACCAAAATAGAACTTTTTGGTCATAATTCCACTAACCGTGTTTGGAGGAAGAAGAATGATGAGTACCATCCCAAGAACACCATCCCTACTGTGAAGCATGGGGGTGGGAGCATCATGCTTTGGGGGTGTTTTTCTGCACATGGGACAGGGCGACTGCACTGTATTAAGGAGAGGATGACCGGGGCCATGTATTGCGAGATTTTGGGGAACAACCTCCTTCCCTCAGTTAGAGCATTGAAGATGGGTCGAGGCTGGGTCTTCTAACATGACAATGACCCGAAGCACACAGCCAGGATAACCAAGGAGTGACTCTGTAAGAAGCATATCAAGGTTCTGGCGTGGCCTAGTTAGTCTCCAGACCTAAACCCAATAGAGAATCTTTGGAGGGAGCTCAAACTCTGTGTTTCTCAGCGACAGCCCAGAAACCTGACCTAGAGAAGATCTGTGTGGAGGAGTGGGCCAAAATCCCTCCTGCAGTGTGTGCAAACCTGGTGGAAAAACTACAGGAAACGTTTGACCTCTGTAATTACAAACAAAGGCTACTGTACCAAATATTAACATTGATTTTCTCAGGTGTTGAAATACTTATTTGCAGCTGTATCATACAAATAAATAGTTAAAAAAAAATCATACACTGTGATTTCTGGATTTTTTTTTTTTTTTTTTTTGATTATGTCTCTCACAGTGGACATGCACCTACGATGACAATTTCAGACACCTCCATGATTTCTAAGTGGGAGAACTTGCAAAATAGCAGGGTGTTGAAATACTTATTTTCCTCACTGTATATAAACTGACTCAGGAAGAACTTGTCCAAGTATAGCTTGAGAATTTGAGAACTATTGATATTGACATTGTTAATCTGTTGTTTGACTATGTGGGATAGACACTGGTTTTCATTTGTCGCCTTGTACCACAGACTACAGTATCAGGGTGTTTCAGTAGTGGTTAAACAAGCCTTTGTTGACTTCCCCTTGGGGGAATCCCTGCTGCCATCTTTAAGTACTGTTTCATTAACCTGGAAAATGAAGTGGGTTTTTGTGAGATTAAGTCTTCAAGACCAGAAGGAAACAGTAAATGATGTACACTGAAGAGAGAAAGCTACCAAGAATGTGTTGCGATCTTTCATCAGTTCCACTGCAGTGTCAATTTGTAAGGTTGCTAAAGTGCAAGTGTTTTCCATTTGCAATCCTTTGCTCCCTCTCCGACCCTGCTCCCTCTCACAGCAACTGTCCAGTGGTGTGACATGTGACGCTGTGCTGAGGGGAAGTGAAGGATGGCATGTCAGATGACTATTGAAACCCACTCGTTTAGCATTTTGGTTAAATCAGAATCATGCATGTGAGTTAATCTTTTTGATTAGGTTTTCAAAAACAGAAGCCACTATTTTATTTTGTTATACATGCCCCTTTTACATTAGCATTAGCAGAAACAATTTGCCTTCTGGTGTCAAAAGTTTGTAATTTTTGAGTCACCATTTTTGTTAAATGTGTCATGAATTTATTAAAATGATTTCTACTGGATGTTACAGTAGTATAATTGTACAAAAGATTATATATATTTAATGTCTTATCTCACTACAAAACTGTGTTGGCATTACTCCCATAATACTGTGTAAATGTGCATGCTTTTTATGATAGTTTATACACATATTCCTTTTATTAACACATTTTGGAAGCTCATATGTTAAATCTGTAAGATATCCAAATGCTGGGGGAGATTTTGGAATAACTGTTCATTTAGTGCTGTATAAATTGATGAAATTAATTTTGTCAAACTTTTATATGTTTATTTTTTATATCCACCATTTGAAAATAAGTTTATGTAAAAACTTTATTGTAATAAAATATTATTGCTGTTCCTTGCGATTAAGGGTGAGTTTTCTTGTAATGTTGTAATAATTTCTGTTCAGTCTACACCTTTCAAGCAGGAGACGTTCCTCTAAGAATAATTATTACTAGATATAGAAGAATATTTATAATAAATCTATATTTCCAGTGTTACAGTACACATAACACCTATCTTCGAGCTGTGTTTCCAGCTCTTCACCGTGGAGAGGTGTAGTTTGCTTTATTGCTCAATAAGGCGTGGGAATCGAGTTAATGTGGGTGCCTTGTGAGGAGAAAAAAAAGGTGGTTGTGAGAGTGCCTAGTCATCTCTCATCTCGCGATATAATTGTTCCATCTGCATTCCTGTCAATTGTGAGAGTTTTTCTGTTCTCGCGCGACTTTGTAACTTTCCCACGCCTGTTGTTTTGCCGTCTGCCCTCTACCCGTCGCCACTCCCTCCCCCTCTTCTCACCCCTTTGCCCCGTGTCACTCCCCCTCTTTCACTCCCTGCTTTTCCTTCCAGTATGGTTCTTCTGTTGTGCCTTTGGCTCTGGTGAGGGGAGCTGGGGGAGGGATCTCGCGATTGTTGGACTTTTTTTCGGGGAGGGGGGTTATTTGGAAGATGGCGCCCGTTGTTACGGGGTAAGTGCTAAAATTCAAAGCATAATATTATTTTAAAAAGTTGTGTTTCTTGTGGTAAACCGCTAGTTTGAAGTGTTTTGGGTGCTGTATTTAGGTGTTAGTACTGTTGGCTCGGCCTCAGTAAGCTTACTTCACACAGTGCTACTTTGTGGCTTGATGTGGGGTCAGTTGTGCAAAACTATTCTTCGCAGTATCGCCTGGTTTCTCTGCCATTTGTAATTGTCGCACGATATCGACAAAACGATTTCAGAAACCTTTTGTCAGTCAGCAGTTTTGCATTTTTGGCTTAACTACAGCATCAACTTCTGTGTTTATTTAATTTCACTTTTAACAAGTTGAGCCCAGTGACAATGTAATATATTTTCAAGTCAAGACTGCAACATTGTTAACGTAACTTACATTAACGTCATATCAATTTTTAAGTCGTTATGTTGTAGCTAGAGTAAGTTTCGTTGGATTATTTAAGCATCACCCTAAAATTTATTGGTTTAATTTCCCTTCATCAGTCCACAGTGTTACTGTAACATTGAATTTTGAAACGCCCGTCTTCATAATTGTATACTGTACAGTAGCGCCATTCCAAGTTTATAAACAACCGAGAAACAGGCATAACACCAATATTTGGTGTTACTATGGGTCTCACACGTTTGTCTACCTTCTTAACACAGAATGATAGTACAAGCTTCCCTGCTTTACAGATGTCACTGACATTGTGCACTTTGCCACACATCCCCACCCCCCCCCACACACACACTTCACACACTTCACACAGTCAACCTTGTGTTGTTTTTTCACTGCTACCCCAGCACTGTAAACCACTTCCAAACACTTTGCACCTTGATGTTTTTGTTTTTTGCAGGAAGTTTGGTGAGCGACATCAGCCTCAGCGTTTGACAAGGTAGGCAGAAACATGGCGCAAACAACTCCAAAAAAACGTTTAAATCATTGCAGAAAGTATGCTGTCAAAGTGTTCACCTGTCTTTCCCCCCAATTTCAGGGAGGCTATGAGGAATTACTTGAAGGGGAAAGATGATCAAACAGTGCTCATACTCCATGCAAAAGTTGCTCAAAAAGTCATATGGCAATGAAAAAAGGTTTGTGTGGGACTGTTTAAACGTTGTTGAATGTGTGCGTGTTTGAAAGAGAAATCTCACCCATTCAAAGTGGATTGATTGGAACTCCTGTGTGTTCTGCTTGGTTTTTATCTCTACTTCTGTCAATTAGGTTTTTCTGCCCCCCCCCATGTGTGTATCTGATGGGCAGTGGCTGGCAGAAGAAGTTAGAGACTATGGAAAAGGAGGGTTGCACAGAGCAGGAGGCTCAGCCGTGTGCGTTCATTGGGATAGGAAATAGTGAGCAGGAGATGCAGCAACTCAATCTGGAGGGGAAGGTGAGAAGGCACTTATAATACCACAGTACTGCAGGGGTTTTAATCATATTTTCATGTAATATTGTACACTGTTTGACATACTCTTCCAATACTTCACGCATTCTAGTAGTAAACAAGGGACGTGTTTTGGCTCCACTTCACTG